TGAGGGTGACATCTCAGTGTGTTAAGGATGTTTGTTGGGGAGAGTGATGTAGTGCTGACATTTTTACTTAACCTGATATTAAGACCCTTAAAACCTAAAATCTTTCAAAATCCCAGTGAAAGTCTAAGTGGAGGAAAAAACTGAAGACTGAAGCCTGACTCATATCCACTAAACATCTACTTCAGCCTTGCAAACAAAATCAACTTCCTTTTGCTAGTTCAAATATATAAAACTGAACTACTGTCCAGGCTCAGAGTTATGTTGAATACAATTTTAATGGATTCTTCTATTTACTTAAATCCCCAAGTAGAAGACACATAAAAACATAGTACACAATGTTGTCCCACTTTATAAGGACACTACTTGAGCAAACATGCAAATATGAATTTGGCCATGGCCAAATATCAGTTATAAAGAAAGAAAAGCATCCCTCACTTCTACTCAAAATAACTCAGAAACCAAATGAAAACAAAACTTCACCTTATTCTAATTACCATTTCCACCTGTTACATTTAAGGAAATTGGAACCACGATGATTTTTGTTAAGAACTTATAATGACCTTGCTATGTACAACCACAGTGTCGTGGGATGCCTGGCTCATTTAATCACATTGTTTTGCTGTGCTATCATCGCAATCCTTCTCACTGAGAAGCAGTGATATACTTGCGTTTGAAGCAGTGCTAGGCACATGGTGACCTTTCAACAGCTGGAAACTACTTAAGCTGAATCCACCTCAGACTGAATGTTAGTTCTTCTCCACTAGAAGTATTGATATGACTAATGAAGGTTGGTAAGATAAGAATAAATGTCCCAGAAAAAAAGTACAGTGAGCCCAAAGACCAAGGTCTAAATGTTGGCTCACACATATTTGCTAATGCTTACATGAGATCAGGTTGCCTGGTGAAGGCTTGTGATTCAATTGCTTCTGATCCCCTGCCAAGTACAATGGGACCTTTCAGCATTTTTCTCCCATGCTTTTAACACACTTATCATTGATTTGACCTTAAGGTCCTTAATCACTGTTTGTGGATGACCTGTTATTAAAGATACACTTAACAGAATCCTAAAACCAGAAATCTTGTAGAGAATAATCTCAGTTAAAGACAAAATCTGGTGATGAAGGCCACATTTTACCTTAACCACCAAGCACTTGTAGGATAGAAACTAGCTATACAAGATTCAGAATGAGATAATAAAAATAATATAATCTCTAAGGTGACTCTTGTTTCTATCTGCTAAAGCCATAATCAGCATTCAAAATGTACCAATAGACAGCACACTAGGCATTGAACTGAGATGTCAAAAGAAATACCAATACCTTGGGGCACCTTTTACATCATCACTTAACTAACCCTAAATAGGTTGGGGTTATCTTTAGAGGTCTGTATGGAGAGCCCAGATATAGGAAAGCAAAAATTGGCTTTAAAAATGATCCTTGGGGATCCTGAAAAAAAGTCAAAATTCAGCCTGGCTTCCCATTAGGGGTGGAGAAATATAGAACTTCAAATATTACATAAGGCCCAAGAGACCCATATGAAACTTCCTTTTTGTTTTATATGCTGTAATTCAGGATCTGCTCTTTGAATATCCACTGGACCTTCCATCAGACTCAGAATGCTGTTTGTCTAAGGACCCAAGAGCAAGCAAAAAAAAATCTAAACAGTATTTAAGAGCTAGTAGTAGGAAAGGTGAGAATGGCCCTAAGATGAACTCATATGATATTTTCCTATGGAAAACACTGCAGCTTCAGCAGCACCAGCAGATTATGGGATCTATTGCATTTCTTGGTGGCGAACTTGCTTGCTTTATTTCCTTCTTTACTTCCACCTTTTCCTTCCTCCACCAATCTCTTTCTTCTGTAATGCTAGGATCAAATCTAGGACCTTGTTCATGCTAAAGGCAAATACTCCATTACTAACTAAATTCCTATCCCTTCGGTTTTTGAGAAAGAATGTTGCACTGTTATGCAAACGTGCCTCAAAATTCTTGTACTGCTGTCTGTGCCACCTTTATATTAAGAAAATACTTGTATGCATCTATTCCCTGCTCTTCATAGGGGATTGTCAAATGGGGAAAATGACTGAAAACATTCTAGCATTTCTCTGCACCAAGATTTCAATGACTAACCCCTTCACTGCCTATACCAAAGTCTGTATAAAGTGTCATGGGGATGACAGCTGTGATGTGAATACTGTAAAGTGCAGCAACCATATTTGTAGTAAATCTTAACATCTTAACACATCTTAACCAGGATAATTGTGCTTATATTTAGTTTGTTTTCAATAAATTAAATAAATTTTCAATAAATTAACTCATACCAGCATTATGGACAGCAAACACTACTTCCAAACCAAAAGATCCAGTTGCTTTAGTCATTTGACCACTTTTCCCCACCTAAACCTGGACCACTATGAGGGCATAGTCATCAAAACCAGTGGCTCTTTTTAGACATAAGGGGATACTTAAAAAAAAATACATGATGCCCACATCTATGTCCTGAGGGTCACATCTGCCATGTTCCACCAAAAGGTTATGGAGAAAAAGGTTTCAGTTCATGCTGAGAAGCATGTGAAACTGGAGATTCAGGCTTAAGGGAAATGAATAGACTATCCTTTAAGTTAAAAAAGCACCAATTGGTCCCCTTTGCTCCTCAGTGCTCTACTCCTGCACCTCACAGTCAAGACCTGACTGCAAGGGAAAAAGGTAACAAAAATGGAAAGAATTTTAAGGAAAGAAAAATTTTAAATCTAAAAGACACTAAATTGCATCCCCCTAAAGAGTGTTGGTAGCTTAATCTTTGAGAATGGAGACTCCAACAAACATGTGGGCTTCAGAGCTATCACAACTATAGAGGTCTAGGACATGAGTTGTAGAATCAAGGCTTCAGGCCTCCCTCATCTTCCTCATGATATCTCTATATCTATATATCCTCTCTTTCTCTCTCTGTGTGTGTGTGTGTATGTGTGTGTGTGTGTGTGTGTGTGTGTGTGCGCGCGCGCGCACGCACGTGTATCTGCATGTGTAGTTGGAGAGAGAGTCAAAGCAGAAAGCTAAAAGGGAAAACATTTCATTTTTCTGTCTGAAGTAGTAGGTAGATGTCAGTAGAGTTCTGTAAAGCCCTTTCTTCAGGCCTACCTGCCAAAAATATAGTCAGGAAAAATATACAGGAAGGAAAACACAACTTTGCTCATCATTATCCCCACACCCCACACCTCTATAATTAATTAAAGAGAAAAAAGCATTCCCAGCAGTTCCATGGCTGTGGATTCTGGGTTCCCAGGCTAAAATAAATAAACAAAAAATGCTCAAGGACAGTCTTGAGAAATGGTGGGGATTTAACCCTCTGTTAGGATGGAGTTCTGTATATCCCACTTTTAGAGTATTGGTTATTGTAGGGCCTACATCCCAGGTCCATGTTATTGTTGTTGAACAGAAGAAGAGCAGGAAAGTCCAGTAATAACTGCTGGCAAGGTTGCCAAGAGTGAAAGAGACCTAGAAAAAGAGCAGAGTAAGTTAGAATCCTGTAATGCAGTCTCATCAGCACCCTCTTTTCCCTTTACTGTAAAAGTTCATGGTTAGACCAGTGACTTAGGACACAATAGCAGAAATATATCACCTGCCTATACAGATGACGAGTCTATTCTATTCCAAATTAGCCAAAGGACTTGTGCTGAAACTGGGTTAAGTTATAAATACTATGTACTTGAGAAAAACCAAAAATGATGCTCTCTAGACAGACATTGTTTTTAGTTCTCTCACATGGCAGAGAAATCAGATGTGTTGCCAAAGGAATAGAACCAGAACTCACAAGTGAGTATGAGGTGCAATTTTGCTTATTATGCTGAATTTGAATTTTTCAGTCATAGCTGTACTATACATTGGGCAGTTATGAGCTCTCATTCACTGCCATATATGAATAGGAACTATATAAGCACTTGATGAAATAGATTGGGCATCTTTGATCCAAAATTCAAAGATTCAAAATCCCAAATGCTCAAAACTTTATAACTGTTTGACATGACACCATAAGTGAAACATTTCATACTTAATCACATGTGATGACAGATTATACTAAAAATAGCACCTTCAGGATATGTGTATAAGGTGTACATGAAGCATAAATATATTTTGTGTATTTTTCTCAAAGAAAAATACATATGCACATACACAATGCACAGAACATATATATGTATATATATATATATATATGTGTGTGTGTGTGTGTGTGTGTGTGTGTGTGTGTGTGTGTGTGATATTGAGATATCATCCATCTATAATGGGACTGCTAATTCTGGGCTCTAGCCTAGTTTTGAGATTGGGTTGCTCTATGACTTTAAGTAAATCATTTTTCTTCTCTGTGGCTCAATTCCTGCCTGTTAAAAATGAGATTAGCATATTTCTGATTTGCCTACCACACAGACATGAAGTTATGAAGTTCAGAAAACAATGTAATGAATATAGGACAAATTTGTAATTTGTGGTCAAATGCAGGGAAAGGAAGGAAACGTCAGCATAGTGTAAACATCTCTCATGGATACATTCTAAAGGACACTCACATGTGTTTTCGTTCAATCCTCACAACAATTTATGAGCAGAAGACTGCCTGAAAGAGTTAAAATGATTTCCATGAGCTCATAGGCTCTTCAAGAACAGGGGTTCATCCGAGTATAGACCTGCATGTATGTACAATACTGTGCTGCTTATACCCATTAAAGGAGAAAATGGAATATGACTAGTCAATAGTGGGGTCCAAATGAAGAAATTGGCATCAGGACAGACTGCCCAGTCTGTAGACAATCATTGGCTTACAGGTCTGATGTAAAATTAGCTCAAAAGCTTAGTGTTACAACTGTTGCCTCTCCGACTTCTATCAGCCTAATTTCCTGCCAGTCCTCCGCCCAAGCCCTGCCATACAATAGAACTGGTGTTGGAAATTTGTTGAGAGTGGCCCACACTTTCTGGGCTTTTAACCACACTTTTCTAGCTCACCTTAGTAGAGTCAAAGTCTGGGAGCTTCAAAAGGTGCATGGAGCTGCAGCCTGCTGGAGCTTCCAGCTGTATTCTCCCTCAAGGTTTCAGCTCCAGTACAAGGGGCAGAGCTGGAAAACTTTTGCAGGTCCAGCTCTGTACATTCAATTGGGGTATGGACCCATTGAGAATGGCTCTCTGAGGCACAGGACGCCATGGTAAAGGACTCCTGGGTGGGGAAGCCACTAGTGGAGCTGCAGTCATCATCCAGGATGGAGTTAAGTGGCTTGATCTCAAAGATGCTCTCATTCACTGGAAATTCAGACCTGGTCTCCTGGCCAGCTGGCATGGGGAAAAGAGAATCCTCCTCCACTGCCTTCTCAGCCTCATATTGCAACGAACCTCCTGCAACTCGAAGCAGAAAGCCATTGAGTCACCCAAATTCAAGTTCTCTTCTCAACAGGGTACCTCTTCCTGAGCACAAAATAAAGAGGGGTGAGGTGTTCTAGGAGCCAGAGTTCTACTTCCCTTCTGGAGGACCAGAGCATATTTCAGAAACATACTTTCATTGGTGTACTGCATTAGTAGGCCAGATGCTAGTAGGAAAGAGATAAATGCCTTGTAGAAAAGATATTGTAATGTGCCCTTTTGTTCCATAATCTTTGTATCCTATATGGCAAAGGAGCCACACAATCAGATTTATGGAAATTGATGTTAAAATACAAAGATTATCTTGAATTATACAGATGAGTTCACAAACGCCCTTAAAAATCATGATTTTTATTCAATGATTAATGATGAACATTTTAATTATTTTCATTTTTCTAGGTTACTAGATGCATCCTGAGACATATCAGAAGGCAAAAATGACAGAGCACACTATAGAGGTATGGCGTAAAAACCCAATATACCATTCCTAGTTTTAGAAATAGAAAAGAGCCATGAGCCAAAAAAAAAAAAAAAGTATATATGAGCAGCCTTCTCAACCTTCTCAATGCTTCAGTCCTTTAATACACTCCTTCATGTTGCTACTTTATAGCTATAATTTTGCTGGTTATCAATCATACTGTAAATATCTGTGTTTTCTGCTGGTCTTAGGCAACCCATTGAGCCCTAAAGGGATCACGACTCACAGGTTGAGAACCACTGCTCTAGAAGCTGGACATGACCTTCAGCTGGTAGCCACCCAGAAAATAGGACTTTAGTTCTATAAATTCATAAAGGAGCAGATTCTTTAGAATATACAGAAACATAGTCCTATTAATTTCTTGATTTAGGACTTGTTAAGATCCAGGAAATCCTGCTTATCTTCTGAGCTATGGAAACTGAGAAAATCCATTAAATCTGTAACAATTGTTACAACAATGATAAAGGTAAGTAACCCATCATTCATGCATGAATCTGACTCAATATTAGTGTATGTTTGTTTGTATCCCCATTGTGGTTGTGGTTCTGCAGTTTGTTCAAATTATTTACATATGCATAAGAAAATTTCATAAAAAAATCACAAATTTCTGAATTATTTGAAAATTTGGAGAGTTTTGCTGTTGTAACAAAAAGAAGGAAAAGAATAACTGATTTTTTATTCCTAGAATATGATCCTTCCGTATGTCACAATCCCATGCCTTTTTCCTGCATCTGCATTGGGTTTAATTCACACCAAATTAACATTCACTGCAAAGCACTAGAATGTGTGTCAGTCCGTGGGTAGTAATAAACTCCTTTCTCATATGGAAATCATTAGGAAGCTATCCATCCTCATGCTTGCAGGAAGATACTACATTGCATCCTTAGGCTAGAAAAAGAGTTACTCATTTTTCTCTCCCAAGGCTGTTCTTAGATGTGTTTCATCACATCCACCTTACTGAGACACAGGACCCAAACACTTCATAACCCATGTTCCAAGACTGGGCAGGAATTTTTATTTTACATACCACCTTCAAAAGACTGAATGGCCAATGAAACAGGTATACAGTGATCCACCATTATCTTAACTTGAGAGCTACCAGAGTAAATTTAAGGAGACTGAAGTAGAGTTGAAGAGGGACATTGAGAATCAAGAGGGAAACACTCTATCTCATGAAATGCTAGATTCATCTTTGCTAAGCATTGAGTACATGCAAATAAGTCACTGGTAGTTTCTAGAGCCAAACTGACTAAACAAGCTCTATTTTAAAAGAATTTTCCAACTCAAACAGAAGCCAATATAAAGTGTTGCTTCAGGCACAGTGTCCATTAAGTTAAGGAATCCTGACACTTTCTGCATCTAGTAAACTCTATCTTTTCTTTTACTAATTCAGGTCTATTTATTAGTCTGAGTTAGTTTTTTTTTTTTTTTTTTTTTTCATTATCCCTGCTTAATTCTTGGTTCCACTAATTGCACTGAAGCTGCATTGAACACTGGTATTCTTGTCTGGGATTCTAATGTCTTATTTAGTCCTGATAATTCCAACTCTTTTATATTTACTCCTTAATGACCTAACTTTCAGTCTTACTATTATTGGCTCATAGATGAAGTTGATAAAAGTCAAAGTGTTATCAAGACTTTGAACATGATCATCTATCTTGATTTTCATGTAGTCATCTCCTATGGCATGGGCCATATCTCCTGGAGCAGCAGTATTTTGGAAGACAGAAAAATATAATAATGCTGACAAAACACTATGATTTTAGTTATTCCATTTTGGGAAAATACTATATTGACAGCATTTACTGTATAACTCATTAACTTCTATTAGTCATATTTCAGATATAGCCAAATTCTCTTCAATTCTGATTCTTCAGAATCTATTAATACATAATACAGAAAGCAGTTTAAACAACTTAGCCAACCCATCTATCATTTTGAAGATTAAAATTAAGTAAACCCAAAGAATATAGATAGATAGGTTGAGTTACATTATGATTTAAAAATAGTGTTTGGTCTCTAGATTTCTTTACCAAGTGATTTCCAACTAAGGGAAACTTTCAAACTTAAATCAGTCCAATAAACCAGGTACATCCCAGCACTTTTGACAACCCATGTTTTTTATGCCATTCCAGATAGTTTTCATATGATATCAGAGCATCATTCCTGGGTTTTTCCAATGTGGCAGAGAAGGTCCATTAACTTATAACGTCAGAAAAATTCCTTTTACCAAAAAATTTATCTTAATTCTAATTCATGTGAAATGTTAAGCAGACACACTTACCACACTGACAATGTCTGTTGAAAATCTGCTTGCAGTAGAGGAAAAAGAGTCCAAGGAAGGTTAATGCAAATACCACCAGCAGACTGCCTACCAGTGCAACAAGTGTGGCTTCCTTACCAGGAACAGTATGGGCATCTACCTTCACCAAGCTCAACTGGAAGGTACCTGTGGAACAACAAAAACAGAACAATGGGGGTGGTGGTCAGTTAATGTGGGCAGTTAACAGACAAGGGCCCCAAAGTTCCTTGGCCACATCTCTTCATTTAGGTCATATCTATCAGGGCTGCTAGGTTCTTATTAGAAAATAGGTAAAATTATAATGAAAAAAAAGGAGAACTCATAAGCTTCAGGCACAGAATAAATTAGCATGACTAACCAAAATATGCTATTATTGTGCTTCATTCATGCTATATTTAGTAATATAACATAAAAAATAAAACTAAATTAAGGTGCTCATAGGTAAATACTAGATCAGTAAATCCTGATTTACCCTTAATACATCATAAGGGACCTTTAATTAATTAAATAACTCAGTGCAGAAAAAAAGTGAAGAATAGCTTGATGACTTTTACAGAAAATATTGTAAAGAATAAAATACTAGTACGTATTGTCTAATAATATGAATATACATGAAATAATATTAGCATTTAAACAGTAATCAGCAGAGGAATATGTCTATGAAATAACCACACACTCTCTGTATTCTTTTACACCCTTACAGTGAAGATATCAACATACTTGCAGCCAATGTACTTTGAGTGAAAACAATGTACGTCACTTCTAGATTCATTTAAGAGCTGATACATCTTGATTATTTCTTTTTATAACAAGGAACTAGGTATTACCTAGTCTCGCAATCACAGGCACATGATATTAGAAGGCTTTTCCTTATGAAAGGAAACATGGGATTTGTTTATTAGCATAGGATAGCCTAATAAAAGGCTGCTTAAAATTTCAGGAAAGTGGTTGTTTCTATAGTGGGAAGGAATGAAGATGACTCAGAAAGGATAACAAAGGAAAGTTTATTATGTCTTTTCTTTTAAAAATCTGAAGGAAATATACAAAATTTTAAGATTTATTTTCTAGAAATCTCAGCTAATTTAGGACTTTATATTTTTATACTTATCTGTATTTTGCAATGTTTGTTCTATTTATTATAATTTGTAGGGACAAACCATTAATTTAAAGAATTTTTAGAAGATAAACAAAAATTATGGTGACTCAGACAAACAAGTAAATGTGAAATGAGATGGACATAGACTACGAGATTCTACTTTTTTTTCAGATTCTGATGTGGTCTAAGATATTAGGAAGTCCATATACCATGTATATTGCCTCTAATAGCAATATTGACTCTACTAGCAATTAATAAATGTAGAAATGTTAATATTTTAAAAAATACATAATAGCATTCATTATTCCATCAAACCTAGTCAAGCAAGTCATCAAGCATGAATAAAAATATGTTCATTAGATTTAATTTTTAAGACAAGAGAAATGAGTTTCAACGAGTTTGAAAGCTGAAAAGTTGGAGTTAAATCATAGCTGATTGTCTTTACCAGGACTCCAATGGAAGGAGTACTAAAGAATATTTTCATTCTACAAGAATAAAGAAGACTACTGACTTTGTTGAAAAAAAGAGGTTTGGGGAAGACAGGAAAAAAAAATAGATACACACACTGAACCTCAGAAGAAGGAGTTTGCTTTGTACATGGGATGCATTCTTGGTCCTGCAGTCCCCCGATGCGTGTCTTTTGGTAGAACCTGTAATCAGAGAAGAAAAGAATGGCAGAGTGATGAAACAAAAAATTGACTTGTAACACTGTTTCCTGAGATCATAAAGAATGTCTAACAGGCTTTCCTTCGTGTTTCTTTGATGAGAAGCATACATACACGTGTGAAATTTCTGACATGAGTGATTCAGTACAACTTTTTCCTAATTCATCACATTATATAGCCAAAAGGGTAGCTAAGGACATGAAACAGGAAAGCAATTATGATACCAATTTCCTCATGATTTATGTGCAATCTATCTAAAGCAACATTTTAATTTAAATTTTAGGCAGAATATCAGCACAATTAAAGAGCTTTTGAGTGGAGCCAGACCTCTGCTGGAGACCCAACAATCCCTGTGGGACCACCCTGAGTCCCCTCCAGCCTGATCTTTGATCCCCATCACATGGCCTATGCTGAAGAGAACACTCCTAGTACTCTGACCCCAAAACCACTCCACCCAGAACCTGCCCTCCCCTCACCCTGTGCCCTAGTGAGCCCACTGCTGCACTGCTCTGGTTTATCACTGGGCCAAAGAACATGTCCCCTCTGCCTATGGAGAACTTCCTGGATCTGCACTGAACACACTAGACCCATCTATCCTCTCAGGGACACCCTAAGTCCCTGCCTGAATGATATTTGACCCCATCACCGGGCCCCTACAGGAGCAGAGAACTCCTAGAGAGCTTGGACCACCCAGAGCTACACACATCGAACTACTGACCCACCGACGCCCACTGGGAGAGTAGCACAGAGACAGAGAGACTCTACCCGCACCCACTGGAAGATGCAATGAGAAGATGGCAATAAAAGAAAATACCTAAAAATAGAAAGACAAGCAGGACACCACCAGAATCTAGGGACTCTACACCAATTAGAACTGAAAACACCAAAGCAGATAAGGTATAAGAGAACGACTTAAAAAATAACTTCATAAAAATAATAGAAGCTCTCAAAGACTATATGAGAAAATCCCTGAAATAGCTGGAAGAAAAAACAAACAAAAATTGGAAGAAATGAATAAATCTCTTAAAGAAAGTAAGGCAAGCCAAGAAAAAACAATCAAACAGGCGAAGGAAACAATTCAAACAGTTCAAGCCTTGAAAACTGAAATAGAGATGATAAAGAAAACACAAAATGAGGGAATGCTGGAAATAGAAAAACTGGGCAAATGATCAGGAACTACAGATGCAAACATAACCAATAGAATACAATATGATGGGAAATGTCATTCTGTATATGTTTCTCATACTGGTTAATGAATAAAGCACTGTTGGCCAATAGGAAAGAAAGATAGGAGGGACTAGGAGACAAGGAGGAAAGAGGAAGGAGTAAGGAGGAGTCAAGATGGAGAAAAGGGAGAAGAGAACAGAACTGCCGGCCCCGTTCTCCAGTAAGACCACGTGGAAATATATAGAAATGGGTTAATAATTAAGACATAGCTAGCTGATAAGAAACTAGTACCTGGCCAAAAGCATTATATCAAATACAGAGTTTCAGTGTATTCATTGGGGTTGGCGCAGTGGCAGGACAAGACCAGCAAAAACTTACTCCTTACAGAGATGAAAGACAGAATCTCGGGCAAAACTAGAGGAAACAGATTCATCGACCAAAGAAAATCTTAAATCCGGCAAATCCTTAACTTAAAACATCCAGGAAATGTGGGGCACCATGAAAAGGCCAAACCTAAAAATAATAGGCATAGAAGAAGGTGAAGAAGCCCAGCTCAAAGGTGCAGAAAACATATTCAACAAAATCATTGAAGAAACTTTCCCAATCTGAAGAAGGACATGCCTATGAAATTACAAGATGCATACCGAACAACAAATAGACTGGACCAAAGAAAAAAGGCCCCTTGACACATAATAATCAAAACACCTAATGTACAGAATTAAGAAAGAATATTAAGGTCAGCAGAGGAAGAAGGCCAGGTAGCATATAAAGGCAGGTGTATCAAAATGACATCTGACTTCTCCATGGAATCTCTCAAGGCCAGGGATGCCAGCCCAGATTGCTATACCCAGCAAAAGTCTCAATCACTATAAACTGAGAAAAAAAGATATTCAATGACAAAGCCAGATTTTACAATACGTATCTATAAATCCAGCCCTAGAGAAATTTGATGGGAGATGTCATTCTATGTTTCTCATAGTGGTTAATGAATAAAGCACTGTAGGCCAATAGGAAAGCAAGATAGGCGGGACTAGGAGACAAGGAGGATTCGAGGAAGTAGTAAGAAGGAGTCAACATGGAAGACGGAGATAGCAGAACGCTGGCAGCCTCTCTCTCTGGTAAGATAAGACCACATGGAAGTACTTAGATTAATAGAAATAGGTTAATATTTAAGACAGAGCTAGCCGATAAGAAACTAGTAAACTGGCCAACAGAATTATATCTAATATAGAATCTCTGTGTGTTATTTGGGGCTAGTGCCTCAGTGGGTCCAGGCCGGCAGGCAAAACCATACTCCTTACTTATGGCATTTTCCTGGGTTGGACTCTGTTTTGAGTGAGACAAGCAAAGATTTGCTCAGCTCCTTTAAGGGAGATTTCCTGACTCAGCATAAGCGGCAAAAAACCACATGGCTTTTAAGAAACTCTGCTAACAATACATTGGTGTGTACGAGAGCTGGCAATGGCAGTGACCACATCTCCAAGCCAGCAACATGCTGCTGAATGGCAGCGTAGGCCAAGGCCGTGAGCACAGCTCTCAGTTCTGGCAGTAAAAATACCTGCCTCCATCTTGGATAGACAGTGGCTAACACAGCTATGACTTTAATTTTAGCAATGTTGTTATTTACCAGATAAAGACTCATGGCCAGAAAAAGATAAAGATTTTCAGTAAAGACAGATTCATATAAAGAAAAAGCAATAAAGGTTTAGAGTGTATTCTAAAATATATGTAGGCTTGGGAGAGAAAAGGATTAAAATGGTTTTAAAAAGACAGTGAGGAGCTGGGTGTGGTGGCACACGCCCTTAATCCCAGCACTCGGGAGACAAGAGGCAAGCAGATCTCTGTCATTGCAAAGTAAACCTGCTAAGCAGAGTGAATTCCAGAACAGATAAAAGTTACACAGAGAAACCCTGTCTCAAAAAAATGAAACAATAAAAAGTAAAAAAAAAAAAAAAAAAAAAAAAAAACAGAGTAATAAAAAAAGCCATGTAAAAAGCACAGAAAAACTGTGGATAGTACACCCTATTCTGTTGTCTTTAAATTGCTTGACTGCTGAGGAAATAACAACTGATAAAAGAAATGCTGCTGGATTAATTCAGTTTATATATTTTAAAAATGCTTTGACTCCAAAATTTAAGTTCAAGGACAGGTTACTGGGAAAAGGATTTCTATTTTTGTTTTCACAGAAAATGAAAAGCTGTGGATTCCTTCCAGACTAATGTGGTTTGATCAAGCCAGACCCCCTGAAACAGAGTTCATGGTGATCCAACATTCAAGATGTAGGACAGAGAGAGCAGTTAGGACATTGCAGCCTTGCAGACTACAGCCAAGATATCTGTGTCTTCTTAGGATCCCCCGTGACAGCACCCTTTACCAGCAGGAAGTAGTTTGGAAAAAAATGATGCCCAAATTCCCAAATATTGTCTATAAATATTTGCTTTCATTTAAATACGCTTGGTTTAAATGGTTAATGGTCACAACCAATATATTTAAAGGTAAAAAGGGAATTATGGTATAGATATGAACACTTTGTTTTGGAATGGATTTTCACTTATTGATACAAATTTAAGGTCAATTTTGTGATATGTATATTTTTCCTCTTATTTAGTTATTATGTTTATATAGCTCATTTAAAATATAATGTATAATTTAACATAGATTATAGATAGTTACCTATGATAGTTAAAACTTAGAGTTAAGTTAGTTAGGTTTTCAAGATGTATTTGAGATGGATAGGCATTCTTCAAACCTTTCAAAGACCTACAGAATATGGCATTTAAAATGGTTTAGGGTTTTTCTTAACAGTGAGGCACAACTGCTCCTGGCAACACCACCTGTGTCAGAAAGGAAGATGGACATTGGAGAAACACATTATAAAGTTTACTTCAAATATGACAAGACTAGCCATTTGGACAAGATACTGCTCTTGTCTGGACTGTTTGATGTTATGCTGTATAAACTGGACATGCAGGACCCACAGAAAAGTGACAGCTGATTCAAGATGGACATTGCTACAGAGTTCCTGCTTCATGGAAGAGTCTGGCAGACAGTCTGCAGGACACAGAGTAAAGTGACTGATAAACTGCCAATACAGGTGGACAGTTTAAAGTTTCCTGCTTTGCTGAATTGTCTGCCAGACACACTATGGCCTATGGGCTGAAGATGGAAGATTACAGAAGAACTTCGGGTGATTGGCCAGGCAATGAGTTGTCTCTGTCATTTCTAGAGCTTATATGTTATCCTTCTGTGGTTTTGATGGAGTTGAAGACAGATAGTTATGTTTATAGTTTTCCTTAGTTATGATTAAAGATAAGTTATATATAAGACTTTAGACTCACAAAAATAGGATAGATAATGGAATGATTTGTTTAAATATTGCTAATAATTGCTGAACTAAATATTGTTAACTGTGGTTCTTATTTGATAACTGTTTTGTGTTATATTTTGCTATGTTAAGGATAAAACCATTCTTTTTATTTTAGACAGAAAAGATGAGATGATGGGAGATGTCATTCTGTAAATATGTTTCTCATATTGGTTAATGAATAAAGCATTGTTGGACAATAGGAAAGCAAGATAGGTGGAACTAGGAGACAAGGAGGATATGGGAAGTAGTAGGGAGGAGAGTCAAGATGTAGGACAGAGAGAGCAGAATAGTGGCCCCTCTCTCCGGTAAGATAACACAATGTGGAAATACTTAGATTAATAGAAATGGGTTAATATTTAAGACATCTAGCCCATAAGAAATGCTAGTAATAGGCCAACAGAATTCTATCTAAAAAAAATAATTGCCAGATACATACACATACAGACATGCATGCATACATACATACATACATACATACATATATAGCCAGAAAGATATGGCTTTCCCATTCATATATCTTAAATGGAGTGTGACATGGGTAGTCAGAATACTTTTAGTAAAGTCTAAGAGGTAGGATGATAAGGGACATCAAATATTTTTAAGAAATCCCAGAAGGACTGATACAATTGAGTAGGCTTACCTGGGCATACAGTCTCCACAGATAGCATTAGAGGTATTTGTGCAGTTGGCCTTCTGGACCCGATTGATGACAGCACATGTAATGCAAGTCTGACACCTGTGATGTCCCCAGGTGCTTTTATATTTTCGGGGAGGGCAGGCTGTACAATATGCATCACCACCTTCTCCATAACCACAATCCTGAAATATAGGAATTTTCATAAGAGCTTAGAGAGATGCTATGAGTCAAGGAAAAATAGTTTTCAGACTACAAGTTCTATGTTATTGGATCATTGAATCAATTTAACAGGTTGTAACCAACATGGAAAACTGAAATGGACATAAAATGAAGTAAAGCCAAGTGTATCAATCAAAATAAATAGATTACACTACAAAAAAACTCACAAAGTTTTATTCATATAAAACTACTTGTGCATATAGGGATTTTAGACCTAGAGCAAAGGATCACCAGCCCATAATTCACACTGCCAGAGGAACTAGGATACAAGGTGTATTCTAAGAGACTCATATAAGATTCCTCACAGAAGAGGGAAGCGACAAGTTCCACAGAGCACATAGGAAGTAGAGGGCAGTGAATGGAGAGGGAACTAGGCGAAATTGAAGGGGAGTAAAGGAAAGCATTTGCTACTAAGAAGATTAAGTCAGCATAGGAATAGAAGACAGGAGAGAGAGAGAGAGATAGACAGACAGAGAGAGAGAGAGAGAATAAAAGAGGGAGTCATTTTTGGATTGAAGAGAAAACAGAACCTAAAGATATATATAAAGACCAACAAAACTGACTCCAAGTAACAATTTGAATAACTGTGGAAAGGTTACCATAACTGCTCTTCCCTGATAATGAGATGTATTCCTGGTGCACAAAAGGACCTTGCTGACACATGCCCCATGGAGGGATACTCCATTAACCTAGAGACAGGAGAGAAGTCCTAGTCCCTACTTCAAATGTCTTGTCAGATTTACATGACCCACTTAGATGGCATAACCCTACATGTGGAGTGGGGATGGGTGGGTGGGAGGGGAGGGTGATCAGGGCACATGTGATGGGGAAGAGAGGGTAAGATGGAGGGAGGGAGAGGAACTGGGATCTATATGTAAAATAAAAAAAAAAAAAAACAGATTATTTCTTACACTCTGCCTATTGGAGATTCAATGACCTGTATTAGCCAAAACAGTGCATACATGAAATGTTTAATTTTTGTGCTATTATGATAGGAACATTAGGTAAAGGAGAACATTTTGTCCTCAAGAGATAACTCACTTTAATTTTATCATATGGCACAAGACATATACATCAACTGATAATTATTAAGTATAAAGAGTACAAAACCCCACAATTTTACAGTATGTGAGAAGGTAGTTCCTAGCAAGTATCTGAAATAAAAGATAGTACCTATCTTTTTAATTAAAACTTTCACAGGTACAACACACATCAACGCATGTTGGGTAATGATGAAAAATTAGTTTTTATTCTAGTACACTATAAATGTTTTTGTACACTGGATAAGGCATCTATCCTTTTGCTTCAGGTAAAGTATCAATGCAATGATACTATACTACCTATTCTCTCTGTTCATAAGAAAAGAGATTGGAATACTTGTTCTGTAAAGATTATTCTAGCTCTCCTACTACGGAAATATGTGTGGTGATTCCATAAAGAGATATAAATCAATCTACCTCAAGATCTAGATATTTAGGCATGTACCCAAAAGATGCTTCATCATAATAGAGAGACACTTGGTTAACAATGTTCACTACTGTTCTATTAATAATAGCCAGAAATTAGAAACAACATAGATGTCCTTTTACAAATGAATGGATAAAAAAATGGAACTTTTTAAGTAGGAATATTATTTGCCTGTTATAAAATAAATAAGTAGGGGAGCTTATCCCACATAGGGGTATACTCTCTCAGCCTAGATATATCGGGGAGGGCCTAGGCCCTGCTCCAAATGATATGACAGATTTTGAAGACTCCCCATGGAAGGTCTCACCCTCCCTGGCAGCAGAAATGGGATGGGGTGGTGGTTGGTGTGGGGGTCAGGGGAGAATGAGAGGGTGAAGGAAATGATATTGACACATAAAACAACTTTGTTTGAAATTTAAATAAAAAGTGGTGGGAGGAAGTAATATACATATATAAAAAAGGAATCAGTAGGTAAATGGATACGATGAGAAAAAACAATTCCAAGTAAGGTAATCCAGGCCCAGATGGACAAATACAGTATGCATTCTATGTGTATATTGAATTTTAAGTCAATTATAATTAAGCTACAATCCAAAGAAAGGATGGATAGATCTCACTAGAAAATGGAACTAGAATAGATAGTTTTGTATGTGGGCGGGTACTGAAACAAAAAGAACAAGCAGCGTGGGGTAGGGAAAGGGGGAATAAGGGAGGGAATATGGGTAAAATGACTAAAATTAAGGGTCATTTGAAAGGTGGTATGGAAACTGGATATGGTAGAGGCTTCTTAATGTACATACATATATGAAGGCAATCTAAATGAATTCATCAAATAGTGAGGGAGACAGAGCCCCAACTGGATAGTTCTTACCAAAAAAAAAAAAAAAAAAAAAAAAAAAAAAAAAAAAAAAAAAACAGAAGTTTCCAGAATAAGTATCAGGTTATACATAATTGAGTTGTTGGCCAACATGATCCCATGGGGAACCCCAAACAACCCAGCTGTTGCCAAGAATATAGATTGCTCTTCACAAACATACTCCAAGAGCCATGTTTTGAAAACAAAACATACAATACTCACTAAACATGAATTCACGAAGGTGCCTATCTACAGGCTTCACCTACAAGGACTAGAGTTCTTAGTACCAGAAGGTACTATGCACACTGGGAAAGGAGAAGCATAAACACCAAGTATAAGCAAGGAGAATGGTGGCACAAAATTTGTGGGAGAAACCAATCAATAATTGATTTGACTTAAGTTATACTCAATGATATAGAACTTATATAAGTAATATACCTAAACATAATAAAAGCAATATACAGTAAACCAACAGCCAACACCAAACTGAGGGGAGAGAAGCTTAACATGATTCCTCTAAAATCAGGAACAAGACAAGGCTGCCTTCCCTATATATATATATATATGTCTACAATGTTGTACTTGAAGTTCTAGCTAAAGCAATAAGATGACAAAATGAGATCAAGGGGATACAAATTGGTAAGGAAGAAGTCAATCTATCACTATTTGCAGACGATATGATAGTTTACACAAGCGAGCCAATGAACTCTACCAGGGAACTCCTACAGCTGATAAACACCTTCAGCAAACTAGCAGGATGCAAGATAAACTCAAAAACAGTCAGTAGACCTACTATATACAGAGGACAAACGGTGGAGAAGGGAATCAGAGAAACATCATCCTTTACAATAGCCACAAACAACATAAAGTATCTTGGGGTAATACTTACCAAACAGGTGAAAGACCTATATAGCAAGAACTTTGTGTCTTTAAGGAAAGAAATTAAAGAAGTTACCAGAAAATAGAAAGATCTCCCATGTTCTTGAATAGGTAGGATACATATAGTAAAAAATGGCAATCTTGCCAAAAGCAATCTACAGACTCAATGCAATCCCCATTAAAATCCCAGCACAATTCTTCACTGACCTTGAAAGGATAATAATCAACCTTATATGGAAAAACAAATGACCCAGGATAACCAAAACATCTCTGAGAAACTTCAGGAGGCATCACCATCCCCGACTTCAAGCTCTACTATAGTCCTGTAATCAGCTTGGTATTGGCACAGAAATAGAGAGACGGACCAATGGAATCAAAGAAAATCCTGATATTAAGCCACACACCTATGAACACCTGATTTTTGACAAACCAGGTAAAAGTATACAATGGGAGAAGGAAAGCATCTTCAAAAAAATGGTGCTGGTAAAACTGGAAGATGGTGTGTAGAAGTCTGCAGATAGACTCATGTCTATCATCATGCACAAAATTCAAGTTCAGATGGATCAAAGACCTCAACATAAATCCAGCCACACTGAAAGTATTTTATTTATTTATTCATTTTTATTTTACATATCAATGCCAGTTTCCTCTCCTTCTCTCCCTTCCTCTCTTTCAGCCCCCCCTTGCCTGCCAACCATACTCCCATCCCACCCCCTACTCCACATGTAGGGTGATGCCTTCCTGGAGGGGTCATTTAAATCTGTCAAGTCATTTGGAGTAGAGACTAGATCCTCCATCCTGCCTCTATGTTAAGGGAGTATCCCTCCATGGGGAATGTGCTCCCAAAGTCCTTTTGTGCACCAGAGATATATCCTAGTTTCACTTTCAGAAGTCCCTTAGACTGCCCAGGTCTTCTAACTAATCCCATGTTCAGGGAGCCTGAGTCGGTCCAATGCTGGATTCCAAGCTATCAGTCTGGGTGGCAATTAGCTCCTCCTTGGTCAGGTCAGCTGTCTCTCTGGGATTCTGTAGCCTGGTCTTGTCCTCCCTCTCTGCATTTGAATTCCAGTTCTGCTCAGTGTTTAGTTGTGGGTGTCTGCTTCTGTTTCCATCAGCTACTCGATGAGGGCTGTATGATGGTAGATAAGTTAGCCATAAATCTCATTATCAGGGAGGGGCATTTATGGTAGCCTTTCCACTGTTGCTCAAATTGTTAGATGGGGTCAGTCTTGTAGGTCTCTGGACATTTCTCTAGGGCCAGTTTCCTCTTGAAACCTATAATGGCTCCCTCTTTTATCCTCTCTCTCTCTTCTTCTTCTTCTTCCCCCCTCTCTCTGCCTTTCTCTCATCCATTCTTCCCCTGACTCAATCTTCCTAGTCCCACGTGCTTTCCTCTCCTCCCCTCATCTTTCACCTAGCCCCCTCTCCACTCACTGCACCCACTCACAATATGCTCAGATGATCGTTTTCCTTTCCCCTTCTGTGAGGGACCTTATATGAATCTTTTAGATTCCTCATTGTATCCTAATTCCTCTGGTGGCATGAGTTATAGGCTGGTGATCCTTTGCTCTCTGTCTAAAATCCATATATGAGTGAGTACATACACTGTTCCTCTTTTTGTGACTGGATGACCTCATTCAGGATGGGTCCATCATGTTCCATCCATTTGCCTGATAATTTCAAGATTCCATTGTCTTTTTTTTCGTAGAGTAGTATTTCGTTGTGTAAATTTGCAATACTTTCTTTGCCCATTCATCAGTT